GACTGCAGTCGGGAGGTGAGCGGGAGCCGAGGAATGGAGGCTAAAGCGGGTTGGGGCGCCCGCGGGGAGCGGGGTCGGGGGCCGCGGTCAGGGGGTCTAGCAGCAGGGCGTGGGACAAGAGTGGAGGTTTGGGGCCACTCAGGAAGGAGGTCTGAGCGAGAGTGCACATTTTTTTCTGCATCCAACCCCCTGTCCTGACCTCATTTCTTTCTCAAAGCACCCCTCGGCCTTCCCTGGAAGTGTGACCTCTGCACCCCGCCCGCAGCCTTGGAAGGGCTCTGGTGGCCTCCTTTCCTAGGCAGACTGTGGCTGGGGTGAAGATTGAGCCGATTTTGCATTAAGTCAAAGACAAACCTGCTTCCAGGTGCTCTCCCCATTATACCACACAGCTTCCACTCTCGCCTCTTAAAGGACCCTTCTCTTAGTTCTTGAGAACCCTGCAAGGTTTCCCTGGTCAATATGGGGGTGGGGTCAGAGGAGTCACTCTGGAAAGCTCCTGAGCTAGATAAAGTGTTGACAAGATAGGAAGAGGCTGGTCAGAGAGTAGAAGGGAAAATTAAGCCTTAGGAAGTATCTTTTTTTGGGGGGGGGAGGGGTGAATTGTATCTACTGATTGATGGGGGAGGGAGAGAGGCTTGAGATACGAGGTAGAAGTAAAACTGAGATTTGAAGGTAGAGGAAACCCAGAAATAAAGGAAAGGGAGGAGGAAAAGTGGAAAGGGCAGATGGCAAATGTCATGAATGTGATGATCATTTTTAGGGCCATATCAGAGGTCCTATAAAAGAGACAGCCCATTCCTTTGTCAAAATACCTCTAAATAAGATTGCACAATTTTACATAATGGTAGAGTATTCTATATATCTATTAAAATCAGCAAAGCACAACTTTTTAACAGATAAAACTATTTTTTTAACATTACAAAATTATCTTATATTGATGGCAGCACATTTTAGTAGGAGATGTGGACTATAGTCTTGGTTCTGGAAAAGAAATTAACACAGTAACATGCTTAGAAAGTTAAAGTGTGAATAAGCACCTGCAAGTACTAGAATGTCACTATATAAATATTTTGCAAATTGTGAAAGAAAAATGTACTTTTTAAACATATGTATTTTTTATTTCAGAGAGGAAAGGAGAGGGAAAGAGAGATAGAAACATCAATGATGAGAGAACCATTGATCGGCTGCCTCCTGCACACCCCACACTGGGAATCGAACCCACAACCCGGGCTTGTGCCCTGACCAGGAATCGAATCATGACCTCTTAGTTCATAGGTCGACACTCAACCACTGAACCACATCGGTTGGGCAGGTTGTTTTTTTAAATCCTCACTGGATGATATGTTTTTATTGATTTTTAGAGAAGGAGAGAAAGAGAGAGAGAAGCATCAATGTGAGAAACATGGGTAGGTTGCCTTCTGTACACACTCCAACCGAAGATCAAACCCGCAACCTGGATATATACCCTGACCAGGAATCGAACCCAAGATCCTGCTGGTGCATAGGCTGACACTCCAGCCACACTGGCCAGGGCAAAATGTACTTTTTGAAAATCAGTGCAAGCATACTAGCCTATGAAATGAATGGTACCCCTTCTTGCTTTGCAGTGCACAGTCTGCTCAATGTTACCATGAGCTTTGAAGTAAGCAGCTTTCCTTTTATCTAAGGTCTTTTATTTTTATTTTTTTGAGATGCATGAATCATTTTAATTTGCTGAATGTGTGTTATGTGCCGTTGAGTTGGCTCCTCCGCCTGATGACCCTATGAATGAGTGACGTCCACAATGTCCTGTCCCCAACAGACCTACTCAGTTCCTGTAGACTCATGCCTGTGACTTCCCTCTTTTTGTTAGAGGACGTTTATTAAAGCTGAGGAGAGTGAAACAAGGAAAGGCCTAGGATAGAAGAAGCAATAGGAGAGAGACTAGGTGCTTTGACTCATTAATAAGTTGGAAAAAAGGGGGCCTTGGGGACAGGTTCAGGGGGTTTGCCTAGGACCAGCTGCTAGGGCTCATTGCTCCCTGGTTGCAAGTCTAGTGTGGTCTCTTAGAATTTAGGGGATGCATACCTGTGGGGGAAGGGAAAGACGCCAGCATGCTCCTGGCAAGGAGAGCGCTCCCCTTTTATCTGAGGTCTTGTGAACTGGGGATGTTTCTTCAGTGATGTGGAAATAGTGCAATGGTACAATCTGCCTTTCTCTCTTGAATCTATTGGCACTGACCCTTTTATTTATAAACTAAGATGTTATAAAAATATAAAGGCTCTATCCTAGAATGGATTATGGGATCAGAGTTTTGGACTCCACCTTCCCAGTATTCCTGTCCCTACAGTCACTGCAAGCAATCTGAATTCTAGTAGGCAATACTAATCATTTCTACATTTTTGTATGTGCCCCACTTATTTCTGCAGCCAAACATCTCAAGCTTCCAAAAGACTTTTGGCTGCATTGACTTAAGTTCAACTCAACCCCACTTTTCCCATTAAAATTGCTTCTTTTTGCTTCTGTTTTAGCTTTCTTTTGTCAGTGGAATTCATCTCCTTATTGTCTGAGATCTTAACAAAGGCCCAGGGAGTGTTCACTTGGGCCTTTGGGCTCACGCTCCTGGTCATAGGAAGAGGAACACCTCTCTCTAACACAGCGGTTCTCAACCTGTGGGTCTCGACCCCTTTGGGGGTCAAACGACCCTTTCACAGGGGTCGCCTAAGACCATCGGAAAACACATATATAATTACATATTGTTTTTGTGATTAATCACTATACTTTAATTATGTTCAATTTGTAACAATGCAATTGGGGGTCACCACAACATGAGGAACTGTATTAAAGGGTCATGGCATTAGGAAGGTTGAGAACCACTGCTCTAACAAAACCTTCTCATCCTCACAGATTTCTGACTTCCTGCTGCTCCTTGCACTTTCCAAGGTCCATTCTTGTGATTCTCAATGGAGAATGAAAACATAGATTCATAATGAAAACCAGCCCCCATCGGCCACTGATTCTCAAAAGACGGAGGCTGCCCTTACCTGTTCAAAATGCCCCAGGTGAAACATCAGAGGAGGAGCCTAAACGGCCCCCTGCCCAACAAGAGCCTGATCAAACACAGGCCTCCAATGAGGTGGCAGAGTCCACCTCTTGCAAGTTTCCGGTTGGGATCAAGATTATTAACCACCCCACAATGCCCAACACCCAAGTGGTGGCCATCCCCAACAATGCCAATATCCAGAGCATCATCACAGCATTGACCGCCAAAGGAAAGGAGAGTGGCAGCAATGGGCCCAACAAATTTATCCTCATTAGCTGTGGGGGAGCCCCCACTCACCCTCCAGAACCCCAACCTCAAGCCCAAACCAGCAATGATACCAAGAGGACAGAAGAGATCACCAAGACCTCGGGACCAAAACCTGCAGCTACGGATGGAAATCTTCCTAGACTACCTGGAGCCCTTCTCGGGCAGAGATGGGAGAACTGTGGTATGTGGTCTGCAAGGCAAAGGGGTGAGGAGCTCAGCCTTTCCCTTTTGGTGGCAAGGACTGCAGTCAGTCATGTTGATGCCTACAACAGGTAGCATGTAGCCTGACCCAGGGGAAAATCATTCTGAAACCTTCACCCAGATCCTTTGGGCACTGTCCAAAGGGTTGTAATTATCATTTAGCACTTCTAATTGCCTTCTTTATATTGGAAAAGGATTTCTTTATTGTTTTTGTTTATCTCTCCCGTTGACTGTATAAAGAAGTAGGGATCTTAATCTATCTTAATAAAGGAGAAAACTGAAGCATGAGGAGGAAAAGTGGTTTTCTCTGTGCAGATACTTATAAACTCTTTTATAAGGTTGCCTTGACTGATCTCTAAGGCTCAGTGTGGCCCAGATTGAAATGCAACTTGAAACTGTGCTCCTGAATTTCTCCTGAGATCCATAATGGGGTGGAGTTCCTGAGTGCCACAGTAGATTCAGCATGTATTCATTCCCTTGACCCTAGGATAGAGCTCTTGGAGAGGTGATCCCTAACCACCAATTTTGATGGATCTGCTGGGCATCAGATCAGGCAGCCAAGTGACATCTTGAATTATTTCCCCTCTAGCTGGCAGTGAGGCAGCAGGCTGCACTCTTAACACCAGCTTGACCAACATCCAGTGGCTTGGAAAGATGAGTTCTGATGGCCTGGGCTCCTGCAGCATCAAGCAAGAGATGGAAGGAAAGGAAAATCAGCACTTGGAGCCGAGTCAGGTTAAGGTGAACTGTCACTCACTAGGGACATGAGAGCCATGCAGGGAACTTCTAAGAAGGGAAATGGACCAAGTGGCCTATGCAGCAGAATTTCCAAGTTCTGGTATTAGCGTTCACTTAGTGCAATTCTCTTTAACCTTTGAGCTACCTTTCTGCTTGGGATCTTTCTCTCCCATCTGCAGAATTTCCTTGAGGGCAGATTCCTCTGGCTCAGCGTATTCTGTCAGCACTGAGTTTAGTACTCCGCCCTAAGGTATTCAGGAAATGATAAAAAGGTCTTAGTTTGGAAAGCCAAACTTGAAAGAAGCAACCCGACGGTATGAAAGAAATATAGCATTCTTAACCAGATAGTTTTCTTATATATTACTAGAAAATAAAGTGAGTTAGATGTTAATTTTAAATATTTCCCCAGCAATCAAAATTGATTTGACCTAATTGTGTGGCTGGGGTTGTTTTTTTCACAGTTGCCACACACCTGGATTCTTTTGTATATCCCTTTTAATCATTCATGCCACAACCTTTAAAAGTGAAAATTTGCATGGATATGTACATAAGTAAAAATTGAGCTGTTCACTTATAACTTGTATACTTTATGAAGTTATTTAGATAAACGTATCAAATAAATATAAACTTACAAATATAATAAAACTCAATATTTTTTAAAGCTTAATATTTTGAAATGTGAATAATCAGATCCTTGCCTAAGACTTAGTCAAATTTACACTTTGTAGACATTTTTCTGTCCTGTACTCAAAAATATTTCTCTCACGCAAACATTGAAAGGAGATGGGTTTATTCACATCACATCAGGAGAAGGAATTAGAGTAAGACCTAGGTCTCATGGGCCCCAGGTCTGAAAAATGGGTGTGGTGGGGTTTTTTTTAATTGATTTAGAGAGAGAGAGAAACATCGATTTGTTGTCCACTTATTTATGCATTCATTGATTGCTTCTTGTATGTGCCCTGACCAGAGATTGAACCTGCAACCTTGGCATATTGGAACGATGCTCTAACCAACTGAGCTACCCAGCCAAGGCTCCATATGGGTGTGATTTTGTATAAAATTAATGTTTTATAAATCATAACATATACCCAAACTTTCCTGGGAGATTTCAACTACCAAAAACTGGACACTGATTATTGGGAAATATCTTCAACAAAATTAACAAAGACAGAGAAGTGTGGTTCTACATTGTTGGACTGGATTGGATCATCTCTAAGATCCTTTCTAATTCTAAACTTTTATTCTGTGGAATAGTGGTCTGGGATGAGTTTGTTCCTAGTGTGATTTTGGTGGGATAAGAGGTTTTTCTAGGGAATGTTATTCAAGGGGGGCTGGAGGAGGTCTTGTGAACTCTTCCATGTCATTCCCTTTTCTCTCTCCCTCTGGTTTCTCATAACCCTTAGGTTGAGGAGCTCCCAGGAGGATCAACATCCTGGCAGGACTCCGTGTCTGAGCGGCCGCCATACTCTTACATGGCCATGATACAATTCGCCATCAACAGTACCGAGAGGAAGCGCATGACCTTGAAAGACATCTACACGTGGATCGAGGACCACTTTCCCTATTTTAAGCATATGGCAAAGCCAGGCTGGAAGGTACTGTGTTCCATAACAACCCACATGGAGGTCACTTTGGTCCGACAGTTTGTCTACACAGATGTCCAACACTTGATGTCTGGTGCTCTGAGAGAATATTAAGGATGCTAGAACTATCACCAGTTGTATCTTTTGGATTATGACTTGATCCTGCTGAATCCAGGCAAAATCATCAATAAGAACTCTGCAGCCACTTTACCTGTCACTACCTAAGGTTTACCAGGACTCTTCCATGTAGCACTGAGCCCAGTTTTGTGCTACATTGAACAGCAGCTGGAGTGACTAAGTAGCTTTCTGAAAAGATCTTTTAAAAACAATGCTATCTGTGAGGCTCATGATTCACCTCCACTAATGTCACATAATATTTCTAGAAGGCAGGGATTTTCTTTCATTTTATTCATGGGAAAACAGATGCCTGGGAGTCACTAGGTCACACTATAATGTCAGAGCCACAACTCAGGTCCTTTGAAATACTCAGCTTCAAGCCAAAGTTTTTTGTTTTGTTCTCCCCACAGTAGAACTTTTAACTTCACATTCTTACCTCAACTAAATTTCCAAGTTTCTTATTTCGTTCTTTTTTTTAAAAAATATATTTTTATTGATTTCAGAGAGAAAGGGAGAAGGAGAGATAGAAACATCGATGATGAGAGAGAATCATTGATTGGCTGCCTCCTGCATGCCCCCTACTAGGGATCAAGCCCGCAACCTGGGCATGTACTCTTGACTGTAATCGAACCTGGGACCCTTTAGTCTGCAGGCCAACGCTCTATCCACTGAGCCAAACCAGCTAGGGCCCAAGTTTCTTATTTCTTTACTCTCCTAAATTGCTATTGATTATTGCTTCAAAGTCTCATTCCTCTTTTCTAGCTCTTGACAGCTATCCAGGTCTTTTCTTTAACACAAACCTAAGAAATGGTATTGCCTTTATCCCCGTAAGATAGATGGTTTTATGGCTGAGGTGGACGGCTCTGCAGTGTGGAGGTAGGGATAGAATTGGACACTCGACAAAGTCTGTGCTGGGTACAGTGGGTGAGGTCTGAGGCTCATATCCCCTTAGGAAACATCAAGGGTGATGTTTCTGTAGCTAAAATAGCTGATAACCGGTTGTCTCTTCTTTCAGAATTCCATTCGCCATAACCTTTCTCTTCATGACATGTTTGTTCGAGAGACGTCTGCCAATGGCAAGGTCTCCTTCTGGACCATTCACCCCAGTGCCAATCGTTACTTGACCTTGGACCAGGTGTTTAAGGTGAGTGTCCTGGTTTCTTCTAAATGGGGCCAGAGTTGGAGGTTGTAATATCCATCTCAAAAAGAAACCAGTGGTCCTTGTCATGATCTTATCTGATCTGGGGAGAGTTAGATGCTAGCTGGCCCATAGGTGATTTGCATAAAACTCAATGAATTAAGTACAGTTGACAAATACCAAATGACCCACTTTAGTACTAGACCAGGCCATAGAGAGGACTACTTGGATCCAAATAAGAGGACTTCCCAGAATAGCATTTCCCTAACTGCCCTGTGGATAAGAACTGCCTGGGATGCTTATTAAAAAACAACTGCCCATCCTAGCACATTTGGCTCAGTGGATAGAGCATGGGCCTGCGGACTTAAGGGTCCCAGGTTCGATTCCTGTCAAGGGCACATGCCCTGGTTGTGTGCTTGATCCCCAGTAGGGGGTGTGCAGGAGGCAGCCAATCAATGATTCCCTCTCATCATTGATGTTTCTATGTCTCTCTCCCTCTCCCTTCCTCTCTGAAATCAATAAAAATTTATTTAAAAAAAAACCCACACAACTTCCCAAGCCCCTTCCTTGGGGCTTCTGAGTCAATGGGTCTAGGATGGGCCCAGAAATATGTTTTTTTAACAAGCTTCTCAGGTGATTCTTACAGAAAAAGTCTAAGAAACCTTGTTTTTTAAAAGCCCTTCTTTAGGCTGGAGACCAGAAACTGAGCCAACTGAACAACTCTTTAGAAGTGATTGTTTTGGGATTTCAGAGTGCCCATAACCATTCTGTTGGGAGGGACAGTTGACCAGGGTGGCCCTAAGCATCAGGCAGGAATAGGTGTTTTTCCCAATGTGGTCAGATTGATTGACCATGCTGGTGGTAACTTCATCTCATTTCTCTCCCACAATGCCTGCCCACCACAGCCACTGGACCCAGGGTCTCCACAATCACCCGAGCACTTGGAATCAGTAAGATTCTTTCCCTCTGGCTCGGGGTTTGGCCTTATTTTCCTTTCACTGCTTAGCATGGCTTTAGCAGACAGGGACAAGACTACCAGCCCTAAGTACAGAGCACCAAGCTTCTGGAGTGAGGAAATGTGTGACTGTCACCTCATCTCCCCAGAGGAGGGCCCACTTCTCCTTCCCCTCACATGGGTGACCATGAAGGTACACTGAGCAGAGCGGGCGTGGCAGGAGGACATGCCATGGGCTTGGTGCAAGACAGCAACCACAGTGCATGGCATAGGTCTGGCAGGAAGCAATGTTTTCTCTCACTTTCGTCCTGGCTTTTTTTTGTCACTCTTAGAACTACATGCCTTAGCATCCCCTGGGGGTGGTGAGGACATGGATGAGGTGCTAGGACCTGTCACCATAAACCTGTGTGCTGCCCACCTGTCCCACTAACCAGGCTTGGTGGCATTGCTCACCTGCATCCTCCCAGAGCAGCTTTGGTTTCTGGGCTGTTGGTTAGCTCAGTGCATAGTGCCAGAGCAGCTGGTAGGTTCTCCCGCCTCCTCCCCTGCCTTATTAACCCAGGTTTCTCTCTCTTCCTATCTGCCACACACAGCAGCAGAAACGACCCAATCCTGAGCTCCGCCGGAATGTGACCATCAAAACTGCACTCCCACTGGGCGCACGTTAGTATGGGAGAGTGGGCCTCAGACCTAATCCTTGTTCTGGGGGCATATCTTTAGGGGATCAGACTCTGGGATTCTGTGCCTAGCTCAAAGGGATCTGTGCCTAGCTCAAAGGGATCTGAGCACAGCTCCTGGGATTGAGAAGGGTGTGTCTCTGGACCCATACCCCTTATCTCTCCTATTTCCTCCTAGGGCGGAAGATGAAGCCATTGCTACCCCGGGTCAGCTCATACCTGGTACCCATTCGGTTCCCAGTGAACCAGCCACTGGTGTTACAGCCCTCGGTAAAGGTGCCATTGCCCCTAGCAGCTTCACTCATGAGCTCAGAGCTTGCCCGCCACAGCAAACGAGTCCGTATTGCCCCCAAGGTGAGTGGCTTCTGTTTTCTTCTGAGGATTATGTGCATTGGACCTACATTTGCAACTGCACTCAACTGAGTGTTCCTTGAATAGCTTATAAATTAAGTTGGGTAGGTAAAACAATGGAAAATTTAATAACATATAAAAGCTAAAAAGGAATTTGACTACAATGTAAGTGTTGTCAGAAGGCCCAAAATACCTGATGAGTGTGTAAGAATTGGGACAAGGTCGTTATGATACACTAGTGGCCCAGTGCACGAATTCATGCACATTGAAAGGAAATTAACTAGAAGAAATATTTAATATCGCTATTCGCCCTTTCTCTATAATAGAAGTGTCAACCAAATTCACCATCAACAACGACAGATGGAAACACACGCATGCAATTGGCGCCAGCAAGAGTTTTTTATGTATCACACATGCGCGAGTTAACTTAGCCTTTTATAGATAGGGAACAAACTTGCTTAATTAGATCTGCTTTCTGATTTAGCTAAACTTTTTCCAGCCCAGTGAAGCACCCCAACTTCTCTTTCAGGTAATTGTCAGCAACAGAGCAGTAAATATCAACATGAAGCAGATTATTATTGTAGATCACACAGGGAGAACAAAGGGTAAAATATTTAACTGCAGCAGTGTTTGACTATATTCTGCGCAGTGAGAAAACCTGAAGTCATTTTCAAGTTCCACCATTTCTTACTTTTTTTTAGTCGGGTCAGGTTTCTAAGCTTTCTAAATCTCCATTTTCTGGCTAATTAAAAGAAAAGGATTCTACCAAGTCTCCTATCTACCTACTCCAGGACTTCTGTGAGGATCAAATGAGATGAGGCATGGGAAAACGCTTCACAGACATTTGGTTACAGTGTGAAGTGTTTCCATCTGGCTATAAGCAAGTGGTATTCCTGGGCTGAAGAAACTGCAAGGAGTCTAGTCGTCACTAGGGAGAGGAAGCCAGGTGTTGCTACTTGATGTCATTACCCAGACAGAGAGAAGGACACTTAGCATATTAGCCTTTTATATAGATCAGTGGTTCTCAACCTTGGCTGCACATTAGAATCACCTGGGAATCTTTTTAAAATCCTGATTTCTGGGCCTCATCCTCTGGAAATTCTGTTTCTTTGTTATGGGGTGGGGCCACAACATTACTAACAAACAGAATTTCTGGAGGATGAGGCCCAGAAATTAGGATTTTAAAAAGATTCCCAGGTGATTCTAATGTGCAGCCCAGGTTGAGAACCACTGATATAGATAGATAGGTGGGCTGGGTGGTTAAAGAAGAATTTTCAAAAAAAGAAAGATATTTTTTCATTAAAAAATATGTTTTTATTGATTTCATAGAGAGAGGAAAGGAGAGGGAGAGTCAGAAACATCAATGATGAGACAGAATCATCAATTGGCTACCTCCTGCAAGCTCCCCACTGGGGATCGAGCCTACAACCCAGGCATGTGCCCTGACCAGGAATTGAACTGTGACCTCCTGGTTCATGGGTCGGCACTCAACCACTGAGTCACCACAGTCGGGCAAAAGAAGTGGATCTTAGAAGTGGATTTGAGTAAACAGATAAGAGTGGAGAGAGTATAGAGGCAGGAAATGCCAGTTTGTACCCAGTAATAGTGGAGTAAACTGGTCAGTCTAGCTCAGGGTTTCTCAGCCTCCATACTATTGGCATTTAGAGCTGGATAATTCTTTGCTGGGGGTGGGGGGTAGGGGTGCTGTCCTGTGCACTGAAGGATGTTTAGTGGCATCACCTGGTCTCTCCCCACTAGGTGCCAGGAGCACCACCCCCCTACCAACCATGTGAAAATTAAATTCAAATGTCCCCAAACATTACCAAATGGCCCCTGGTTGATAAGCATCATTGGTCTAGTTTGAGAGGAGGTTCAGTTAAGACCATATTTTGATCGGCAATCAAGTCTGGACCTAACCCTCCAGAAAAGTTTTTGTGAGCAGAAGCTCATCTGTAACAAAGTAGGGAAAAGGCTCCACCCCCTTCACTGAGATGGAAAGAGAATGGGCTCTGGAGTTTAGAGACTTGGGTTGCTTCTTAAATTATTTAAAAATTATTTAAAATATATGTATAAAATGATACGTACCACCATACATAATTTTACATATGTACTTTAATATGATTGTAGCATGTATATTGTTTTTGTTTTAAAGAAGTCTTTTTCCCTTTTTCTTCTTTTTGCTTACCCTCTCCCACCTTCACCCATATCACCCCTGCTCCTCAAATAATGTATAATGACAATTTACTCTGCTTTCTTCCATATTTTTATCTATTTTTAGTATAATAGACATACATATATAGTCATAGCCATTTTTTATTGTTGACAGTATTACAATGTCCTCCACTTTTCCCCCTTTAGCTCCCCTCCACATAGCGCTCCCCTAGCCATTTTATTTACTTAATTATTTTTCAAAATATATTTCTATTGATTTCAGAGAAGGGAGAGAGAGATAGAAACATCAATGATGAGAGAGAATCATTGATCGGCTCCCTCCTGCATGCCCCCACTGGGGATCAAGCCCACAACTCAGGCATGTGCCCTGACCAGGAATCGAATCGTGACCTCCTGGTTCATAGCTTGATGCTCAACCACTGAACAACACGAGCCAGGACCCCCCTAGCCATTTTACATATACACACACAGCACATGGAACATTGAAATGGGATTATATTACAAGTCACCTGGCACAGCTCTATTTCATTGTCTTTTGTTGTTGTTGTTGTTAATTCTTACCTCAGGATATTTTTCCATTGATTTTTAGAGAGAGTAGAAGGGAGAGGGAGAGACAGAAAGAAATATCAATGTGATCAAGACACATTGATTGGTTGCCTCCTGCATGCACCCTAACCAGGGCTGGGGAACCTGCACCGAGGTATATGCCCTTGACTGGAATCATAATTCATTGTCTTTTAATGGTCACATAATATTCCATGGTGTAGCTATGTCATAATTTTTCAAACCATTCCACTTTTATGGGCTATAACATTTTGTTTCTAATATTTTTCTCCTATGAACAGCATTGCAATAAATATCTTTGCAAGTATTTTCTTACTAGTGCTTTTATTTCTATGGAATAGGGTCCCAGACATGAGATTGCTAAGTAAAGAGGTATTTTAAATTTTATTAAATATTGCTAGATTGCTTTTCAAAAAATCTGTGATAATTCACATTTCTACTAGCAATATATGACAAGACCTATGTCTTTGCTAGCAATTGGCATTATTAATCTTTTTAATATTTGCCCATCTAATGTACATAAAATTATTTCATCTTTCTTTGCTTATTAGTAAGTGTGAGCACCTTCTTGTTATGTTTATTCACTTGGGATTATTCACTGTGAGATGCTTATTTATGGATGTTGCCTATTTTTTATAGGGTTCTGTTAATAATTTGTGCTAATTCATTTTATTAAAATATTAACCTTCTGTCTTTTAGGCTGAAGATTTTTTTTTTTACTTCCATTGTTTGTTTCTTAACTGGGTTTATGGTTTCTCTTGCCACAGTAAGATTTTACATTTTTATGTAGTCAAATTTATCTCTTTTCTCTCTTACAGCTTCTGGGTTTCCAGTCTTGGTTAAGAAGGTCACCCTCAGATTGTACATGTAGTCTCCTAGATTCTCTTTCAGGATTTGTATGGTTTTAATTTTTCTTTTATCTTTGTATATGGTATAAAATAGGCATCCAACTTTATTTTTTCTCAGCTAGATACTAATTATGTCAGCACTATATTAAATGGTCTACCTTTTCCCCCTGGAATTGAGCTACCACCTTCATCATATATTCTCATATTTAGTAGTTTTTAAGAATTTAAAAAGACAAAAAGAGGATTAGTAGCAGCATGTCACTTATTTTAGTCATCATCTTATGTCCCTCCTGGTGACTGGGTTGAATCTCAAGGCTTCAAGAGCTCCCTCTCATCTTGTCCCTACTTCCCTTTCAGGTGCCGCTAGCTGATGAGGGGGTCGCTCCTCTGCCGACTGCAGGGCCAGTGAAAGAGGAGAAATTCCTGCTTGGAGAAGGGCTGTCTCCTCTGCTTCCAGTTCAGCCCATCAAGGAGGAAGAAATACAGGCTGGGGAGGAAATGCCACACTTAGGGAGGCCTATCAAGGTGGAGAGCCCGCCCCTGATAGAGTGGCCCTCGCCGTGCCCATCTGTCAAAGAGGAGCTGTCTCAGTCCTGGGAGGAGGACTCCCCTCACTCGCCCACTCCAAAGTCCAAGAAGTCCTACAGTGGGCTCAGGTCCCCAACCCGGTGTGTGTCTGAAATGCTGGTGATTAAACGAAGGGAGGGAAGGGAGATGAGCCGGTCTCGAAGGAAACAGCACCTACTACCTCCCTGTGTGGATGAGCCTGAGCTGCTCTTCTCAGAGGCCCCTGGGACTTCAAAACCAGCCACAGAGCTCACTCTCCCTTCAGAGCCCTCTGTGGCTGCCTCCCAGCTTGGCTACTCCCAGGAGGAGGGAGGACCTTTTAAGACACCCATTAAGGAGACGCTGCCCGTCTCCTCTACCCCAAGCAAATCTGTCCTCCCCTTGAGCCCTGAATCCTGGAGTCTTACACCCCCAGCCAAAATTGGAGGGTTAGATTTCAGCCCAGTACGAACCCCTGAGGGTACCTTTGGCCCCCTACCTGACTCCCTGGGGCTGACAGATTTCAGTACCACCCCACTGAAAAGTATCCCCCTCTTTGACTCACCCCAAGAACTCCTCAATTCTGAGCCCTTTGACCTCAACTCTGACCCCTTTAGTAGCTGTTCCCCCTCAGAAATGGAAGTCCCCAAGCCAGACTACCCCATGGTTGGGGAGCCACAGCTTGCCAGCCTTCCAGCCAACCGTTCCCTGACAGAAGGCCTGGTTCTGGACACAATGAATGACAGCCTGAGCAAGATTCTGCTGGACATCAGCTTCCCTGGCCTGGAGGAGGACCTGCTGGGCCCTGACAACATCAACTGGGCTCAGCTCATGCCTGAGCTGCGGTAGAGACCTGACCTTACCCTTGCTGCTCAAGCTGTCCACTCTGGGCCATCTAGGAGTGGCTGGGCCATCCAAGGCCTGAGTAAGGACAGCAAGCAGGGACTGTCCGCCCTCTAGCCCCACCTTGTTATGCCAAGGCAGACATCATGCCATAGTCATCACTGGGCCCTCTACAAGCCTCGAGGCCCTGGTATCTGAACTCTGTGCCACCCTATGCTCCCCTAGAGAATCTGATTCCTCAATCCTCCTGCGAGAGCTGAAGGGTGGGCATAGCAGAAACAAGGATGAAAAGAGATTAGGAACTCCCCAAACTGTATTGTGCCCAGCAGTTTCACCTTCCCTGTTCCTTACAGGGTGTCCTGTAAATAGTGTATATGCTCCAAATTATCCTCTAATTTTAAATGTAAGCTTATTTCCTTAGATCATTATTTACAGACTATCAGAAGGTGGGTAGGATGACAGGAGTTTCACTTTGCTTCTGTTCCACGCTTTCCTCCAGGCCCAAGTTGCCTGCCTCAAGGGTTCTTTACTGTAGGCACCCAGACAAGCAGATCGGCTTGCCAGAGCCCCTTCTACTGCTCTTCCCTCCCACCTCCCCATGTTTCCAAGAAGAAATCCTGGTAAAACTGTCTCATAATGTGTCAAGAGCTGAATTGGGAGTGGGGGGTGGATGCATCTGAAGCAGAGTGTGGGCGCCCAGCTGTGTGCCCATGTGATGTTTCTCTGATAGTGCCCCCTAATCATGCCAGAGAGACTAGCACTGATGAGAACCTGGCCTGAGGCTTGAGGAGGCTAAAAGGGTCCTGACCAGCCTGGCTTCCTTAGCTTGCACTGCAGCTTTGCAAAGAGCCACCTGGGCCCCAGCTGGCCATATGCATGTGAGCCAGCGCAAGAACACTACTGTAACTACTCAATAAAATCCAGGGTGTAAGAGTTTCTCTCTGTGGTGTGTTGGTGTCTGGTCCCTAAGCTAAGAAGGGATTGGGAAAGAAAGTGGGTGATGATGAAGATGGGCAAGCAAGGTCTGAAGACAACATGAAGCACTTGAGAGTGCAAAGGCCTGTGGCATGGACCACCTCCCATACGGTACCTGCACAGGCACACAGCCTTTCTAACACAGAGATGACTTTTCCCAATAATGGTCCTGCACAGCCAGTCCCCACTAAGGGAAAGGAATACCTGGGGGCACACCTTCCAGAACATTAGGAAAGGATGAGCCCAATTACAGGTACCTCATGACCACCTTTACCTCCAACCCAAGGCCTGAAAGCCAGCCTGTCCTGCTTTTGTCCGCAGGCCTTCCTAGGCCAGTCCCTTCCCAGAAGCGCTCCCATTTCCATCTTTCACAGTCAGAACTTGTCTCATCCCCTGGCTCTGGGCCTGGAGCAACCAGGGCCCAAAGGACTGATGAGCCCTCCTCCCTGAGGCACCGCCCAGGAAACAGCACCATAGCAACCGGGCAGCAAACAATGCTGCCAGTAAGGTCTTTCCTATAAAGCTGCCCCTCCTGGCAATTAGGCCCAGAAGAAGAATGGCTTGTAACCCAGGAAGATCACTCAGAGGGCAAAGTAACCCATCCAATGCCAGGAAACCTTTCCTGCAGGTAGGGACCAGGGCCCCATCTCTAAGACCTACCTTTTTGTACCCCACTGGGCTAGTGGCTGTCCCCCTGGGTCATGCTTTCTCCAAGGCAGCAGATCTCCAGTCTGTGAACTCCCGCTGTCTTCCTCCCTTAGTTCCATGGTACTGTGAACACGGAGTTCAGAAGAGAGGAGAGGAGAAGCCTGGTTATTAGATCTCCTGGGCCATTGGTCACATAGTAATGATTTAGGGGACTGGGCCCAAGAAATGGGAGTTTGGGGAACCAGAAAAGTCCTAGGAGTGGACTGGCGGGAGAGGCATTTTTGAAGAACATAGTATCATGATTAGTGCAGACAAATGGCCACAGGCTTTCTGGGTGAGTTATTTACTGTGTGAGATATTTACTGTGTCTTGCTTTTTGCATCTTTGAGATGAGGACCGTAACAACACCTGCTCACAGGGCTGTGAACATTAAGTGAGATGTGGATAAGTACTTAGCACAGTGCCTACATATTTGCTACTGTTTATTTCATGGGGGTGTGGCACAAAAGGGAAGGGAGGAAGAGCCTAGGTGCTTTCTATACTTGCTTGTATTTTAATGAGAAGGGCAATGCACCAACGACAGGGAAACGAGCAATGGGAGGAGTCCTGGTAGAAAAGCACCCAGGCTCCCTTCTCTGAGGAAAGACTTGCCTCCTACACTTGGCATGGTTAGGACATTTTCCCTCAGGCTTTCCTCAGGCCTGATGTGCCCATTAGGAGCATGAGTTCCTCAGCAGGACTGGGGGGCCCCCGAATGAAGAGGATGGGTGGAGGAAAGAAGTGAAGAGTGGGAAAATCCAAGTTGAAAGAGGGTGGGAAACCAACCCCAAACCTGGTAGGTGGAAAGAGAACAAAAGATCAACAGTCTATGGCAGTGGTTCTCAACCTTCCTAATGCCGCGACCCTTTCATACGGTTCCTCATGTTGTGGTGACCCCCAACCATAAAATTATTTTCGTTGCTACTTCATAACTGTAATTTTGCTACTGTTATAAATATCTGATATGCAGAATGTATTTTCATTGTTACAAATTGAACATAATTAAAGCATAGTGATTCATCACAAAAACAATATGTAATTATATATGTGTTTTCCGATGGTCTTAGGTGACCCCTGTGAAAGGGTCGTTCGACACCCAAAAGGGTCGCGACCCACAGGTTGAGAACCGCTGGTCTATGGGAATAATACAGAGCCAGCCTACCTGCTGCTGGGCAGGGCCGGAAGGGAGACACACTCCCTGCCAGGCCGCCAGTGCCCCAGGAGAGGCCTGGTGTGGAGGAGGCCGGCAGCTCCTTTCCTCTGGGCCGCTCCGGGAAGCAGAGGCAGAGTGCCCCACGCTTCCTTTGTCCCTCTCTAGATGTGCCTGGCCGAGTCCCTCCCAGACTACCGCACATGGACTCAGCGTGAGTTTCTCCTCACGGATGAGCCCGGGGAATTGCCTGGCTTCACCCAGCAAGCCTACCACCAGCTGGCCCTGAAGCTGCCACCCTGCACAGACATCAAGTCCAAGGTGCGCCACCGAATAATCCACCCTTGGGCGGATAAAACCAAGCACACCTGGGGCTTTCACACGTGGCTTGACGTGGGGCGCTTGCCCGCCACCTTTCCCAGCAGGCCTGACAGACCCTATGATAGCAATGTCTGGCGCTGGCTGACGGACTCCAGGGCCCACCGCCATCCCCCAGCAGAGCCCGCCATCCCCCCACCCTCCTGGATGGGTCAAAACAGCTATCTGACCTTCATCAGCTGTACTCCTATCTTCTTGAATGAGAACCTGAAGAAACAGGTGATTTTCAGGACAGTGAAAGAACTAAAAGAAGTGGAGAAACTCAAGCTGAGGAGTGAAGGAAGGGCACCTCCACTCGACACCGATGGCAATATCCTGCCGCCAAAGAACTTCAGGAAGTAAGAGGAGCTCACCCACTGTTCAGGGGCCCCCCCCCCCCCCCCGCGCCCTCTGATTCCTGTTTCTGATATCTAATTGGAACTCTAACTTTCCCACCTCTGAAAACTAAACACTCTTCTGAATGTATCTGGAGGAAAGGGATGGAGGCAAGGGAAAGACAGCCAGGGGAGGGGCTCAATCATTTATTTACTTTTTAAATATATTTTTATTGACTTTTTATAGAGAGGAAGGGAGAGGGATAGAGAGTTAGAAACATCAATGAGAGAGAAACATCGATCAGCTGTCTCCTGCACGCCCCTACTAGGGATCGATCCTGCAACCCCGGGCATGTGCCCTTGACCGGAATTGAACCCGGGACCCTTGAGCCCACAGGATAATGCTCTATCTATTGAGCCAAACTGGCCAGGGCCTTTCTGCCTTTCTAAAGGCTTCTTACCCTTTCAGCTTTCATTCGTTTTCTCATGAAGCCTTCCTGGGGGATATATATAAAAGAAAGGCAGAAAGGAGGGGATGGAGGACTGACTGGTGTAAGCAGAGACAGGAATGCAAAAGGACTTATTCCAGAACCCTGCAGCTCCCCCTCCCCCCACCCCATCGTGGGAACTCACAGATATTGCCATACTGGGTCCAGTCCAGGCACTGGGCATGAGTGGCAGGAAAGGAGGAGAAGAATAAGGATAGAATGTCTTAAATTCCGATCCCACAGGCATTAACAGAAGCATTGTGGGGTTGAAGGGGGAGGCTGTGGAGATCTGCAATCTTAAAAAAAAAGCCAACAATTGGTGATTTTGAGAGAAGATTATTCAGGGCCTTGGCTTCTCTCTAGTGTCCCTGCAAATGAAGATTTATTATTATTATTAT